ATGTTTGTTTATCTCAAAGACCTATTATCCGTAAAAATTTATTTTCCGGACCTTCCAAAGTCCCATTAATTCCAGGTAGACCAGAAAATTTAAATTTTTAGCTAGTAGCCAGTGGCTGGTAGACTTTAATAACTTAGTAGCCACAATTTCATTAAATCTAATGAGTCGGTGATCAATATCGTTTCGTTCTTTACATTTAATAGCTAGTCTTATTGAACTTTTTTTTGCTTGGATTAAATTATGTTTTAAAAAAATCATATTAGAAATAATCTACAGCTATAAAAAGTTAATTCAACAATAAAAATAATATAAATATATATGTGAGAAAATTTAAAGAACCTTATTCAAAAATATTTGGGGAGGCAAAACAAATATAATGTATACATAACAGCTTTGAAATATGTGAATTGTTAGTTCCTTCCACATGAATCTTTTGATTACAAATTGAGGGATTCTAAAGGTTCAAAATTTTGAATGGACACATTGGACATTTTAAGGAAAATTGCATTTTCCAGAGTCTTTCAGCATTGGTGTACTTTTTCATTAAACAATTTTCAAGAAAAAAAAAGATGGGAAAAAGTGATTAATTGTTCATTTTATTTATATTATTCGTCTTTTGTTGACTCGCCACATGACGAGTAATTATTTTCAGATCTAGTTTCAGATACAGTAGTATTAAGTCCCATATCCAGATGTCGGTTTACCAGAAGGGTCTCTTCTCCAGACACACGTCAACAATCAAAATAAACATAATTCTTTCCCCTTTTAATAATTTTTTTTTTTTTGCATTTGAGACTGGTTGAAAAAGAAGTGCCGTAATTTCACGGAGAAACGCCGCACCATTGGACACGCCGAGCCGAATTTTACCATACTAATGCAGGTATTGATTACAGACTTAACATGTGTATCTAAATATGCATATACGGTATTTTCTGGTGAAAGTGGCGCACATCGATAAAAATGAAAACATTTTGAAAAAGTTATCATAAGCGCCACAAAGGTGCTACACCGAGCATATCAGCATCCTTATAGAAGAGACCTTTACAGGGGGGCCACTCAAATCAGATTTCAAATTTCCCTGATTTTTCCAGGTTTTCCAGATAAAAATCTTAAAATTTACAGGTTTTAGTTTCTTTATTCTAATAAAGTGTAGGATGTGGGTACAAGAAAAGTGTTTATATTATAAAATATTTTATTCAAAATGTTATTTTTTAACATATCTTGAAAAAAATAATTTATTTTGACAATTTGGCAAGATTTTTTATTCATTTTTTAATGTTTTGGTACAAAATTTTGAATCAAAAATCATATATTGACCAACAAAAGAGTAAAATTAAATATTAATATATAGTTGGTTCTTAAAAAAACCTTTTTTTAAAAATATGTTATAAAAGGTTAAAATGAAATAGAAAAAATTAGCATTAATGCAACAATTTGTCGATAAACATTGCTGTTTGCGATTGCAAAAAAAATTATGTGATTGGTTGGTTTGCTGAGAAAAAATAATTCACAGATTTCTTTGGGAATACAAAAGCTTTCAGAAAAAGAGTGCAATATAAAATCTATTATTATTATTAAATTATAACCAACTAATTTTTGGAGAATTTTATAAAGTTAAAAATACAAAAACATTTTGTCAAAATGGAAAAAAATTACCAGGAAAGCATTGGAACAAACTTAAGCCATAAATGGATTCAGCCCAAGGACAGAATTTAAAAAAAGAAGCTAATATCCTAATCCCCTCTTCCACCTGCCTCACAATCTTTTCTAAATTGCACAGTCCATAGCAGTCAAAGGTTTTCACATTCATTTAGCAACAGAGAGCTTTAATGGAACAAATTTTGATGCAAGCAAAGTATTGCTAAGTTGATGATATTTCAACTGCTTGGAGATACATTTCCGTCTAAAAAAAAGTGGGTATAATTGATGAAAGAATTTAAATTAAGAAAATTAGTAAATAATTTAAATTAGTGAAATTAAAAAAATTTCCAGCTTTTCTTTAAAATTCCCTGATTTTTCCAGGTTTTTTCCAGTATAAAAAAAATTCCCTGATAATTCCAGATTTTCAATGTGGGTGGCCACCCTGCTTAAGTTACTCTTTAGAATATCTATATAATAAAAAAAAAATTCATAAAGTAAAGTTTTAATTTCTAAAACATAAAAAAAATAAAATTCGTTAAAAGGTCCGCTCACTTATGGATACTGTTCAGGCAAGGCTAAATTAGATCATCGTTGATTGGGGTTAATTTGAAATAAGCGTGCATAATTAATAATCCCTTTAAATGGTTTGAAAATAATGTTAAGTACAATAAAATATTTTTAAATGCATCAAATAACTAAATTTCTAAATTATTTTGGAGGGGAAGCGGGCCTAAAATACGTTAACAAAGAGTTCATGTGAAAAAGTTTTCTTTTTCAGCAAAAAAACAAAACAATATAAATAAAGTTTTTCTTTCAGTTGGCACCGCGCCAAAAAATAAAGCTGTCATGTTTTATTTCAGAAAAGCAAATAATTAACAGCAGAAAAATATTTATATGCTCAGCGGAGCTCATAGAAAAAACTTGCGCTGGGAGGGTTAGAGTTTGAGGGAAAAAGGTAGGAGAATCTCAAATGTTAGGAAAGTCAATTATTCTTCTATAATAAAAAAATAATTCAACTATATCTAGCGGAAGACTTAACGTTGTGACTGATTACAGAAATCTGTAAAACAATGCAATAAGAGAAATGAAAAAATCTTAAGCTATAAGTTTATTTAAAAAAAAAAAAAAAAGATTTAAAAATAAAAAGATTTAAAAATTTATTACAGATAACAATTTGAGGAAAAACTAATAATAACAAAACAATAAATAATAACTAATAACGAAATAACTATTAATAACAGGAATAAGAATTAACTAAAAGCGCACCAAAAAAAATTCTCAAGAAGGAACGAGCAATGGGGAAACGAATTTCACTTTCACAATCTTTGGGGGTGGAATTTTAGTGGATATAATGCCCTCTCGTTGAATGGAAAAAACACAATATGACTCAGCTTACAAAGAGAGAACAAAATGTTTAAAAGAGGGATGTACCCCACCTCCTCTGCTTGTCATTTCTACTGGAGCTGTTTCAGAGGAATCAATTGGTCAGTTTTAAAGGGGTTGGGGATAAGAAAAGTGGATACTTCTTCATCTGTTCGCTCCAATTACAATTGCCACGGCACTAAGTGGATTTCTAGCTTGCGAACTTTCTTTAAGCTGGGGGTGGATACAAGATGCATACCTTTTAAATCGGTCACTGTATGCGATGTTTTTTTAAATATTATTTCGTTTGTTTATTTTCTTGCAGGCAGCTGTCGAAAGTTTGGTAAGAGTTAGCAATTGTTCTGCAGCAACATGGGAGAGCGCGATATGGGCGAATATTTCGTCGATTCCGTTATTAATTTTTATTAATAGTCTTTCTCTCAGAAAATTATTACCTCTTAAATAATTTTCCTTGATAAATTTTTTTGCTACTAAAAATTATTTCGTCGAAAGTGCCGCTACATCGGAAGTGCAGCATTTAGGAATTTTTCTTCTTCGTTAGTGCCGTGGCGCTTTCGCCGAAAAATTCGGTATATATAATTTAGATAAAAACAAATAAAAGGATATTGAATACACAAAAAAATAAAAACAATCCTAGTATATAAACTAATTAATCCTAGAATACAATAACTTTCGAAGTAAAATTAAGCCTTTTCTAGTTTTAATTCGAAGGAAAAAATAAAATATAAAATAATTACTATATCAAAAACCATTAAAATAAGTATCAAAATTCTTAAAAATAAAACTATCTTACTTTTTAGAAATAAACGATAAATCTAAACAAATTTCGCTCAAGGAAAAACTGAAGAATAATTTATTTAGATATCACATATCACTATATTTACTTATCACTGCACCTAAAATCCGTCAAAATCAGAACTCTCCATATCAGAGCAAAATAGATTGATTAGTTCATTGTTTATTTCGGGTTCATCCCAGTCACTCACACTTTCAGCATCACTTTCGGTTTCGTTTTATCCAACGATGATTTCCACTTTTTTGAAGCAATGTCTCACAGTTTCTTTTTCTCTTTTAATTGCTGACAGCTTAAACGCAGCTGTATAACTTTTCCTCTTAATGGGAGGCAATTAAAATGAATAACAAGTTACATTAAAATTAAAACAAAACAAAATTAAAGAAATAGTACAAATGAAAGAAAAATATTAACAAAAGAAAAAATTAAAATAAAAGTAAAATATTAATAAAACAAAAACACAACAAAAGATCAGAATTGAAGATTAAAGGATAAAAAAAATAAGCCCAGGAAGAAGATGAACTCACACTTTAGAAACCAGCTTTTTTTTTTTTTTTAACTGACTCCGCCTAGGACAGTCTTTCTTTTATTCATGTGTAAAATTCTCAAACATTGCTTTTTCCCCTCTACACTGTTGAAAGTTTTAAACTCTTCTTGAACATTCTAATTGTAGGAATATTCAAGGTCATTCTAAGCTCATCATCGGCTCCCTTTATTCATCAAACATTCACATGTTTTTAAGAACCAGCTGAAGAAAAAAGGGGAGTAGAGAGGCATCTCTTGACAAGTGGAAGAGACATATTTCCTGGAAAAAAAGGGGGGATACGTTTGTTTTACAGCTGACTTTATCACCAGCACCACCCTGATTTTCTTCATTCATTCCATTCTGATTTATGCTTTTCCCCCTCCACCCCTGTTGCCTAGGCTCAACAGCTGTTCATATGGCAAAAGGGAAAGAGAGATTTTGTTCTCTTGTGGATAGCAGTCTCCAGAAAGTGATTCCAAGAGAGTGAATTGGAGAGTGTGGGGGTGGGGAAAATTTCAGATGTGTTAACCATTCTTTGGAGTAGCATTAAGTATGAAAATATAATAAAAAGTACTAGTAAAAGGTGGAAAAAATGATGATGAAATTTCCAGTGGGGCTTCTAAAAAGCAAAATTTTCTAAAGGAAAAAAAGTATTACCATATAGGCCTCGTTACATACACCTTCCTACCAAATTTTCAAGTTTTAAATCAATAACCCCGCAACTTAGCTCCACGAAATTATGGTATGCAGGGATGAAAATACTTCGTTTTTCCACTTCTTTATGATTTTTAACAGACTTCCGATTTTTATTCGATTTCCCCTACAACATGAAAAAAATTGGATATCATGTAAACAAAATTCAGCATTTCACTACCGTGTGAAAAAAATCACGCATTTTTTCTCACCTCTCACATAAAAGGATTATTACCACCAAGAATCATGCATTCAATTACAGAATGTGTAAAAAATTGACAATTAGAAAAAATTGCAAAATTGTCACAAATTAAGTGGGTTATTAAGTGATTATTCACAAGTATGATTCGGAATTCGTGGATCGGAATAATATTACATTAAAAATAAAATCAAAATTTTAAAAACTATGAAAAAATCCCAAATTGTTGAAAATGGGATCTACAAAACCATGTAGACAATAAAATAGTCACAAATGGAGTGTAACAAATAGTAATTCTACAAATGTGCGATTCAAAATTTGCCATGTATGAAAATGTAGCATTAAAAAACTATGAAAATAGGTAGCAATAACTATAAAAAATTAGACCATAAATCCATGTGGTAAATCATCAATAATTGAGAGCGAAATGCACCATTGAAAATTTGCCAAAAAATAATAGATTAAAGCATTGCAATTTTAAAAACCAAATAAAAATCCATTTTAATAATTGGCAAAACAATGCAGATTCAATGTAGAATAATAGCTAATCAAGTGGCAACCACGCAAATCATGTGGATTTACTCGTTAATGATTGTAATTGACATTAATTATCATGTATTTGTTATTTTTATTGAATAAGGATGTTTTGATGTTTATTACATTAAAGACTCATTATCCAAAAAAATATATTTTCTGGATTTAAAGAAATCCTGACGATTTCGGATATGGAACTTTCCACTGCGTTTTAAAATCAAATCTCGAAAAGTACCCAGAAAAAAACTTATCAAAACTTTTAAGTTTAAGAGTAATGCTCTGTATTTAATGAAGGAGTTTATTTTTATTTCTTAAAAAAATATTTATATATTTTTTTACAGCAAACAAAACAAAAATAACTGCTACTGTGTATTTCTTTTTACACCATTTGGTGAAAATAAACTACAAATTTTTTCTTGGAGCCATTCATATCTCAACATATTTTTCACTTCATAATCAATTTTTACTCATAATTCTATAACTTTTTTTTAATAAAAAAATAATCTCAATTTGAGCATTTTATTTTGATTCTATTAACATTTTTAAAAATCAGAGAAAAAAACAAACTGAAGCAGATTCAACACTATAGGCATCCGAATTTTTATTATTCCAATTCTTTCATTGCGGTCTCAGATCTTCATTTGAATATTTTTCAATAATTATGAAAAATATTATTTTCATTAAGAAGAAATATTTTTTAAAATTATTTTTAATGAAAAATATTTAATTTCTTAAGAAAAATAATTTTTTTTAAAAATTCAAGAAACAAATTGGAAAGATATTAATTGTAGTATGGAATTCAGTTCACTGGCTTTTTCTCAAGACTGATTTTAGTCCTCAAGACTTAAGAGTGGCTCCCAACATAAGCATCAAAGTAACAATCTTAGAAATATTTTTTTAAATTATAAACAAAACTATCTAAAATTATGAATTAAATAAAAAAAATAAATAATAAAAAAAAAATCTGAAGTTTGGAAAATTATTGGAGGAACTTGCCCCATCGATGCTACATTTTTATGAATTCTTAATGAATGGTAACTTTGATAAAATTTTCTCTTTTAAAGGTGTTTTCCAGAAGTCTAAGCAAAAATTTGTGTATACTCCCTGCAAAAAATATGGCAATATAGAAAACTGCAATTAAGCTCTTGAATTTGCTATTTCTTCTAAATTTCAAATGCTTGAACTTTTACTGTAAAAGTACATGAACTTCAAATAACATATTAAAAAAATGAATATATAACTCAATTTCTTACATGTTGATGGTAGATCTTCCTTTGATATTCCATCTTCCATTTTTGAGTACAATTCAACATATGAAGTTTCCTTATCAGAACAAAATTTTACTAAAAAAAAGAATACTTTTTAAGAATAAGGTAATTTGAAACTCAACTCATATGTATGCTTTACAGGATAAGTAAAAGAACACAAAATCTGCATATAAATATCCTAAATAAGATTACCCACAATCAAAGGACAACACAAGCATTAAAATAATAACAAGAAATATAGGTTTTACAAAGAGGAGAAATGCATATTTTCTTTCTTTTTTTGCAATGCAATTAAAAGAATCACTTAATTCAAGCATTAACCATATAAAAGAATATTTGAACAGTATTTAATAAAATTTTAAAAGTTCAGCTTTTAAGAGCTATAGTCCATAATAAAATATAGGATAAAATATATCTATACATATTGAATTTTTGTCAAAGTTTTTATTATTTAATTATTATTATTACTATATTTAAGTATTAGTTTTAGTAAAATCTAGAAGACGAAATTTCAATAAAATTGATGCAGTAGTTTTAGAAAATATATGATCATTCATTTCATGCCTTTTAAAAAAAAGTCAGTAAGTCAAAACTAACGACAGAAGTTTCCAAGGCTTCCTCTCATACAATTTTACTAAATAACATAAAACCAAAGAGAAATATTTTTGAGATATTGCAACATTTATTATTTTTTTAATGAATGTTTATATATTTCAAAATCCATAAAACCTGTTAAGGCTCATTTTTCTGACTTTTCATCATAAAAAAAAATAATTTCAGTTGTTAAAAATAAAGAAAACACTTAAAATAAGGTTCTAATATAACAAACGCCTATAAATAGTAACTATACTTCGGATAAATATAAAGAAGGCAATGTTCCACAAATTAACATACTAAAAGCATCACTTAACTGACATTACTTGACAAATTATATTTGTTTTCATTGAAATCTTTTGTTTATCTATTTTTTGGCAGGCAGTTGTTCGCCAGAGGACAGAGCTGTCTTTTTAAACATCAAATAAGAAATCAGCATGCATTTTTGTTCAAAAGTTCAATTCATGTCAATTTTAAAGTGAAGACTATGATCTTACTGTTAAGAAATAAAAATTAGTTTGTAAGAATTTCCATAATCTGCTTTAAATAATTTTTTTTCTTTAACTACAAAGTTATAACATTTTGTTATTTGCAGCTTATCTATATTTTTTTCCCACTCCTTAAACAATTCTAAAAACAATAAATTAAAAACAAAAATGATTTCATGAAAACAAGAAATAAAAAAAAAAGCAAAGAATGCTATTATGCTGTGCCATAAGCTATTTTTAGACTCATCAATATCAAGGGTGAAAAAGGCTACTAACAGGTGTTTTACAAAAAATGATGTAGCTTATTTATTTTAGTTTTCTTCTCAATGTGAAGGATTTAGTTTGATTGCATCAGTTTTTTTGTTTTTTTCCATTTATGCATAGAAAAATATTAAAAATTAATTGTTGAATATGCTTACAGAAGATGTTGCAACTAATTAAAAGTGAAAACACAAAAATTTTATGGAAGGGATCCACCACCCATGTATTTTTGGATAGAAGCTATTCAAATGAGAAGGATAGAAATGAATATTTAAAGAGCAAAGAAAAATTTAGATTCCATAACAAACTTATACTCTATTTTAAGGGGGGGGGATTTCTTGCTCTTTTGAGTTGTAAATACCTTCCCCCCCCCCAAAAAAAAAATAATAGAATTCACAAATTTATAAAGGTGATTGAATTTATTGAGGTAGCACTCTCACCCAAAAGGTAAATGTCTACTTTAAAACTAAGGCTACGGAATAGTATTGACTCATCGCACTCTTTGCAAGTCAAATGAAAATATTTGATTATTGAAAATATACTTAATGACCAACGTATTTTAAGGAAAAGTTTTTTTATAGAGTAAAAGCTTAATGCAAATGTAGCGTAAAGTACGTCATGTCCATCAAAATATTAAAAATTTTTATGTTTACCTATAGGACGATTTTGTGGTATTGTGCATGTTGCGGATTTACAAACTTGTGCGGATTTACAAACTTGTTGTGCATTTACAAACTTTGATTGCTCATAATTAAATAAAAAATTGAGTTAGGTAACTGGTTTTTAGTGTTATAAAATCAGGTGATATGTCCAGGGTTGCCACAGTAAAAAATGAACAAAAATAGTTGCTTTTAGTAGCCTCAAGCATGAAAATAGTTGCCTAAAACTATAAAAATAGTTGCCTGAACAGGAACAAAAATGTATCAAAAATAGTAGCCATATAACTAAAATTATAGCTTAATTGTCAAATACTATTATTAGGACTGGGTGATGTCAGAAATTTTAAATCATGAGACATCACTATATAGTGATGTATCACAATTTAGCATATGTTCAAAAATTACCTATGGGAAATCTTTAAATTAATCAAGAATAAATAAAAAGGAATAAATCTAGTACAAAAGAAAATATTAATTCTAAACATATTCTACTATGACATCAATATCATTGCTTAATTTTTTCAATTAAATCAATAAAGAAGTCAAAGTAAAAGCAAACACAAGCTTTATTTCATTTTTCTTAAATTAAAAATGATTTAAGATTTATTGGTTTAAAAATAATAAAACTGTAACAAATTATTTTACATACATGCATTAAAAGTTAAAAGAAGAGAAAAAATGAAAGTGGAAAACAAACCAAAGAAATGTTCACCTTAGAAAATTTTTTTTTTATTTATTTATTATTTGTAGAAAAAAAAACATGCTTTTGAAACATCATTAGACCCTTTTTTATTTACTTACTTAAAATAATAAAATGTAGTATTAACTAATGGTCGAATTCGGTACTTAATAAATGTAAAAATATTTTTACTTATATATTATTATTTTCATTTTTGAAAATAAAATCGACTAAAGATTTATTTGTTTAAAAATTATGCTGACTATCGAACAAATTATAAAACAAACAAGTATTGAAAGAATGTTAATAAAAAATTTTAAAAAATACTCTAAGTACTATTGTTAAATTAAAAACGTCAAGACATTACTAAACTTTTTATTTAATTTTCAAAAAAATTTTGTTTTAACTAATAGCCGAATTTTTTTAAAACTTTGTTTTCATTTTCTCAAAAATAAAAGCAAATTAAATAAAGGTAAGTTTTGCTTTAATTTTTTTATAATTAAAAACGACTGAGCATTTATTGGTTGAAAAACAATCAAATTATTATACTTAACTACATTTAATAAATTTTAAAAAAACTAGCTTTTTATGACACAATTAAATACAAAATACCCCTATTAAATTGTATCGCTTAAAATAAAAAACAATAATTGAAAAAATCAATGATTTGATCTATTGAGTTCATAACAAAAATTTAAGATAACAGCGATTGTGCAGTAATTGCAAAGTAAGAGTAGGTCTACTAAAAATAAATGACATAATCATTAAACCCAGACAGAAAAAAATGGTATGAAATAATGTAGAACGAAACGATCGCTGCAAAAGTCTCACTGAAAATAATTTACAAGAAACCCGACAATTATTTCCGATGAAATAAAATGCACAACGATCGTAAAATGACTTAAGTCCCATTGAAAATAATCTTCAAAAACGAAAAATACCAAAGACAAAAATGGACATAAAGAAACTAATTGCATCCTATATTACAACGCTGATCCTCGCACGAAACCGGGAGTTCTCTGCAACTAGACGAAATCAAAATCGTCTTCGTTAGTGCGGTAACAGCATTAGCCTAGTCAAGGATTCTTGCATATTAAATTGTTAAACCGCGATTATAATCTTATTCCGGGGGCTTAAATCAGATTTCTGGTGCACCGCCTAAAACAAAAGTCACTACATCGGCCTACTGATATATGCGTTAAATTCATATTTCGCGATACATCGATTTATCGCCCAGTCCTAACTATGCTCCAATTAAAAAAAAGTTTTGTTCAAATATAAAAGGTATACATATTAGAAAATAGGTACCTAAATAAAAGTCAAATTACAATAAAATATGAATGTTAATAGAAGGAATAAACAATTAAAAATAACAAAACTGCCCCTCAGAGAGAAAATATAACAAGTACTTTATTAAATTCAATGGAAATTTAAATTTTTGGCTCTTTGGACATAAATGATTGTATAAAAGTTTGCTTTCCTTTATTAACGTTCTGAAAAGTAACATTCATTTTTGCGAAAAAACTTCGCCAAGAGTAAAAAATGTCTCCTAATAGTCGCCTATTCCTGAAAATAGTTGCTTTTTTAGCCTTTTCAGGCAAAAAAAGTCACCATAGTCACCTAAGGCTGAAAATAGTAGCAAATAGTTGCATTTTAGTAGCCTGTGGCAACCCTTCATGTCTTCCTTTAACCCAATTCATATTTAAAAATTAAAATGAATTTAAACACCTTTAAAACAAAAATTTGAAGTGTTGCTGACATGACGCAGAAAAATATGGTTTTTAGAAAGTTTTTCTACATTCACCAAAATCTCTGAGTTTTATGAAATAAATTAAAACATTTTTTAGGTAAGATTTCAGTGTATATTTGCATAAAAGAAATCACAAGACTTTTGAAGAAATAAAATTAATTAAAATAAAAAGTACCAAATTAAAAATAACGTGTATGTTGCGGATATGACGTAGCAGACATGAAAAAAAAATTTTCATTGTGAATAACCGCACCGTCTTAGATCATTCGAACATTACAGATTTCTTTTGTTAAATAAAATATTTAGTAAATTAATATTGTTTAATTATTTTTCTTTTTAATATTTCAAATTTTTAAACTTAGGTTTTATTATGAATTAGTTTTATTTTAGATTCCAAGCAAAAGATGAGTAAAGAATTACATTACAATTTATTTTTTATATTATTTAAAGCAAGTTTTGAATTGTATGAAAAAAACCGTACAGAATGATCAGGTGAAAGATCAGATGGCAAAAGGGCTTAAGTATGAGTCAATTGAAATTGTTTCTAACAACAGTTTTTCCAAATACTTAAACTTGTTTAGAGCTATGAGCTTGGAGTGGTGTTTAAGTGTCGTATCTGTCTTGCTTGTTGAAATTATTCGGCC